AAACTGGCAGCAAAGGTCAGTTTTTTCTCCTTTTCAGATTGAAGCATCACAGACATGCAAAGAAATACTGAAGACAAAGAAGGGATTATGATGCAAATGATCAATTACATTTAACTTTAAAATTGGACTTTTAATGTGTTAGATACAGCCTACTGTATATCATACTGTAGAGCAGGGGTTCCCAAACCTTTAAAGCAGAGGGCCAGTTCATGGTTCCCAGATTGTTGAACCAGACTGTAGATTGAAAATAATAATAATAATAATAATAATAATAATAATAATAATAATAAATCTTTATTTATTCCCCACCGCCATCTCCCCTCAGGGACTTAGGGCAGCTAACATGAGGCCAAGCCCAACAAATACAATAAACAAATAAGATACATACAGCAAATAATAAGTAAAATTTAAATTTAAATCACAATAAAATTAAAATAAAGTACATCAATAAAACAATACAAACAATAAAAGGAATTAACATAATGGGATATAACACCGGGTATGAAATAAAACAAGATTAGGGATAAGGAGTTAATCAGAATGTGCTGGGCCAAGATGCAAAGATAAAAACAGGGGACATAGGACAAGATAGGATAACCTAAGCAATTTAGCTGGTGGGAGGTACAGGGGGGACAAGCTATGGGATTTAATTACTCACTAGGAATAGGGTGAGGTGCATCAAGAGGACAAGTATATGCTGGGGTGGTCATGGTATGGAAATTATTGTTCATAAAAAAATGAATGAATTCCTATGCATGCTGCATATATCTTATTTGCAGTGCAAAAAAGAAAGAAAGAAAAATACAATATTTTAAATAAAGAATAATTTTAACTAGCATAAACTTACCAATATTTCAATGGGACATGTGGGCCTGTTTTGGGCTAATGACACAGTCAAGTTAATTAGAATTGTTGTTGTTGTTGTTGTTGTTGTTGTTGTTGTTGTTGTTGTTGTGTGCTTTCAAGTCATTTTAGGCATAGGGAAACCCTTGGAGGGCCACATCCGGTCTGAGGACCTTTTAGGACCTCATCATACTAGGGAATGAATCCACTTTAATTCTGGTTTCTGCCTTCAGAACTCTGGAGTTTGTAGTTTAGGGAGGAGGCTTTAACAGCCTCACTAAACTACAAGCCCCAGAATTCTGCAGGAGGCAGAAACCAGATTTTAAGTGGATTCATTCTCTAGTGCAGTGTTTCTCAACCTTCCTAATGTCACGACCCCTTAATACACTTCCTCATGTTGTGGTGACCCCCAACCATAATATTATTTTCGTTGCTGTTTCATAACTGTAGTTTTGTTGCTGTTATGAACTGTCATGTAAATATCCAATATGAAGGATGCATTTCCATTCACTGGACCAAATTTGGCACAAATACCCAAAACACCCAAATTTGAATACTACTGGGATTGGCGGGGGATTATGTCATTTGGGAGTTGTAGTTGCTTTCATTTATAGTTCACCTACAATCAAAGAGCATTCTGAACTCCACCAACAATGCAGTTGAAACAAACTTGGCACACAGAACTCCCACGACCAACAGAAAATAGTGGAAGGGTTTGGTGGGCATTGACCTTGAGTTTGGGAGTTGTAGTTCACCTACATCCAGAGAGCCCTGTGGACTCAAAATGATAGATCTAGACCAAACTTGGCAAGAATACTCAATATACCCAAATGTGAACACTGGTGACATTTGCAAAAAATAGACATTGACAGTTGGGAGTTGTAGTTGCTGGGATTTATAGTTCACCTACAATTAAAGAGCGTTCTGAACCCCACCAAACTTTCCACACAGAACCCTCATGACCAACAGAAAATACTGTGTTTTCTGATGGTCTTTGGCGACCCCTCTGACACCCCCTCACGACCCCCCAGAGGTCCTGACCCCCAGGTTGAGAACCACTGCTCTAGTGTGATGAAGTAGTTAGTTTGGGGACCCCTGTTGTAGAGTATTATATATGCAAGACTTGCGAAACCAATGTGATGAAGGCAAGAAATCAAGGTTTGAATTCTTGCTATGCTGTGGAAACCCTTTGGGTAGCTTTAAGCAAGTCACAATTTCTCAGCCTTGGAGGAACACAAAGACACTCCCCCATAACAAATCACACCAAGAAAACTGTGATATGGTTTGCCGTAACAGAGAAATAACCTGAAGGCACACCACAACAAACACTGTAGAGTATCATTTTTTAAAAAAAATAAATCGGATTTGTCCTCCACATTTCCTTTGAAGTCACATGCTACTTGAAATAAATAACTATGGTAAAGACCACCTATAGCAGGAAATTCAGTTTAACACAGAATTTCTTTGTTCCTGTGCATCTCAGCTATATTATATGTGAAGTTACATGGATTTGGGAGAATCTAAATGTATCTGATTTAATAACTAATACGATCTAGCATATATATATATGTGTGTGTGTGTGTGTGTGTGTGTATGTATATATATATATATATATATATATATATATATATATATATATATATATATAAACCCTATCATCTGAGCATTAAAATAATGAATGCAAAAATCACCCTAAAGCATTGTGTGTTTCCGTACTTCCCTGCACTGCTGAAACAGGGATGGATTATTAATAATTTATTTCAGAGGCTCCTCTCTAGGGAATAGTTGCCAAAGGCTTTTCATTTTGTGTTCGATGCTTGCATTAGGAGCGTACAAAAGATGCACACCCAATTCGTGCACATCCAGTATGGCACTTGAAAGGGCATCTCTTCGCAGAATACACATACATAAATCTGAGTTTAGGGAGGGCAAAAGCAAAAGAGGGCTGGCACAGTAAATACTCTGTTCAGATAACATCCCCAGAAAGCGATTTCGGCTTGCTTCTGTGTAATGTGTCTAGATATTAATCTGTCTAGTGTGTACAAGTAAATTGGGAAGTTAATCTGTGTGGTGAGTGGACTTCAAATACAGCCTATCTTTTCCACTGATAGGTTCTTCTTCCTCTGTGCCTCTGCCCAAAGGTTAGTGTCATTTGCCACTTTAATATATGCATATTACTGGTGACAGGGCAGATAATAAATCTCTCCTGATGTTACTAGGGCGAATAATACGTGAAAGAAACCACTTAAAAAAAAAAACCTAAAAGCAATGTTATAGACAGGATAGTTTATTGCAAGAAAAAAACCCTACACCCAATAAGAAAACAACAAAGACAAAGACTACTAACACATTCATTGTGGGATAATATTTCATAGAATCATAGAATCCTAAAGTTTGAAGAGACCTCAAGGGCCATCCAGTCCAACCTCCTGCCAAGAAGCAGGAGAATTGCATTCAAAGCACCCCTAACAGATGGCTATCCAGCCTCTGCTTAAAAGCCTCCAAAGAAGGAGCCTCCACCACACTCCAGAGAAGAGAGTTCTACTGCTGAACAGCTCTCACCCTGACTGTCATGTTCAGTTGGAATTCCCTTTCCTGTAGTTTGAAGCCACGTCCTAGTCTCCAGGGCAGCAGAAAACAAGCTTGTTCTCTTTTCCCCATGACTTTCCCTCACATGTTTAAACATAGCCATCATGTCTCCTCTCAGCCTTCTCTTCTGCAGGCTAAACATGCACACTTCTGTTCTTTGAATCAGAATGTCTCATTTCTGGCTCTGTGTGTTTGCACACCTTATTTGATCAAATGCATCCTTCACTTCCAGTATATCCTAGTGCAAATGTGGCTGAATACAGTACTCCAAATGCTGAAAAAAAGAGTCAAAGATTTAACATTTGCACAATTTATTCTATTGTATGAATGTTTGTTCCTTTTATTTATTTTATTCCCCACCCCAAATGTATCAAGTTTGTGGAGATTGTGCAAAATATGGTGTGCTGAGATCAGGTCATTTTCTTTTCGGAATGCTTATTAATGTTTTGAGGTGTTCACTGAGAACCAGACTGTAACTTCTGTAGAAGATCTGCTGTTATCGTGTCTCCAAAAGCTTATGTTTGTTTGGAAACCTACTCCATTGAGGAAATAGCAAATTAGGGAAACAGTGCAGGAAAAAGAAATAAACTCCTATCTTGTATCATTTTTGTTAAGAACTTGGGTTTGGAAACATTTGTCCTGGGAGAAATCAGACAAGTTATTTTTCTAGAGTGCTGTTTGGGTGATTCCCTAGTCAGCACAGACATTGAAGCTTTGAGCTCCTAGTAAAAATGGAAAGACAAAGAGGAACCAAGGGGCTATATCTGGGGCTGTGGCAGAAGACTTATCAGTGAGCTCTTCTTTGGGAAATACTGTAATTTTTCACTTATGTTGATGTTCTGCAGCAACTCTACTCATTGTTTATATATGAAACAGAGACTGGAAGCTTCCTTATGCTGAATCAGACCATTGGCTTATCTAACCTGGTAATGCTACATTGAATTGCAGCAGTTCTGCAAGGTCTCAAGCAGTAGTCTACAGCTGGGTTGCTGTGGGTTTTCCAGGCTGTATGGCCATGTCCCTGAAGCATTCTCTCCTGATGTTTTGCCTGCATCTATGGCAGGCATCCTCAGAGGTTGTGAGGTCTGTTAGGAACTAGGAAAGTGGGGTTTATATATCTGTGGGATGCCCAGGGTGGGAGAAAGAACTCTTGCCTGTTCGAGGCAGGTTTGAATGTTGCAATTGGCCACCTTGATTAGCATTTAATGGCTTTTCAGCTTCAAGGTATAACTGCTTACTGCCTGGGGGAATCCTTTGTTGAGAGGTGATTAGCTGGCCCTGATTGTTTCTAGAATTCCCCTGTTTTTGAGTGTTGTTCTTTATTGACTCTTTTGATTTTAGAGGATTTTTTAAAAAATGGTAGCCAGATTTTGTTCATTTTCATGGGTTCTCCTTTCTGTTGAAATTTTCCACATGCTTGTGGATTTCAATGGCTTCTATGTAATGTTTGTACATCAGATCATTATTAAAACTGGATGTTCTGAGGACTGAACCCGTTCTTTATACACAGCATGCACTCTGCCCCTGGCCATGGCTTCTTTTCACATCCACCCTCCTTGTCTTCTCAGCACAAGTCCTGCTGCCAAAGCAAAACAGATGCTGAATGATGGTATGGGAATGGAAACACACCTTTTGGATATCTTTCTCAACAGAGGATAGAGGTATGTATTCTAGGTAGATGCCCTATGTCCCGTAAGTTATTCTCTACTCCTATGTATAGAGAATGTTGTTTCATCACCACTACTGAAATAAGACCCAACTCCTTTTTTTTTTAAATGCAGGATTTCTTGGGCCAGTGCATTAGCATTCTCCTCTTATACCATTCGTCTCATTTGAAGATTGCATTTTAAAAATATAATTCAGAATAGAAAGAACCTATATATCATGTGGTCCTGTATATCAAGGCTGCACAAGATTCCTGCACAAGACTTCCTCAAGTTAAAATATAACTTCAGAGTAAAGAAAGACAGGATACAAATAGAGTCAATAAATAAACAAATAAATAGAGTGTGGGTGGATAGAATCCATTGTTGCAAGTATAGCAGGGAATGCTGTACATGAGGTTGAAATATTTCTTCCTGACTTCCTTGATGAACATTTGCTCCTCATTTTTGAAGCTACCTGCTGTTTTAACTGTCAGGGTTCCCAAGTCTAGCACACAGATTTCACTCCTATTATAGAGTCATCGCTTGTCAGACTGAATTTTCTATAAATGCATAAGCATGAGAGAAAATATCTTCAATCAACATGAAAAAAAATCATGTTTGTCTGCCTCTAAAATTGTTTGATGGGCTGTTTTTCACTTTGAGTTGCTTTTCAGAAATCTGGGATTGATGTTTTTCTCTAACCAAAATTTCTACAGGGAATAAATTTCTTTACCAACCAAGCTATAATATGAGTTGTTGTTGTTGTTTGAAAGGCTCCTGACTTCATTGTTATAGTCAGAAACAGTTGTTACAACCTACATTGTATCATTCGTTAAGCAATTAAGTTACTGATAGGCTCTTTACATTATTTGCCATGATGGAAAGATATATTTACTTAACCTGAGTGCAAATCAACGTGGAGAGGCAGAAGTTCAGAGTAAATTTGACTAATGATGTTGTGTTTTCATCCTTGGAAGTAAGGTGTGTGTGTGTGTGTGTGAGGGGAGGGGAGACTTCCTGCTTTTGATGCTATTTTGTTTCTGTGGGAAGAGATCTGAAATGATCCAAGCTGTCATGTGAGAGCTCAGTGAAGCTGAGATCCCCTTTGATTGTCTCTGAATGTCTCTCTCAGTGAGCGATTGCCTCCCAAACAGAGGCACAGCACACAACACTTCAGGATGTTTACAGAATCATATTTTTACCTTTCAGATATTCATGTTTTCACACTGAAATTGTTAAAGTAAAATATAGTGGAAAAGGTTTCCTTTGATAAGAATTGTATGGAGACCTCAGTGTGGAAATCAAGTCCATTTCAGGTAGAATTTGGGCTACAATATGGATCATTTCCTTCTCTTGTTCGATAACTAAATCTCTGAGTCCCTTCAGGGAGAGAGGGCAGGTTAAAATATACTACTACTACTACTACTACTACTACTACTATTGTTATCACCATCATCAAACCTTTTAATCTCTATTATTATTTCTGACTGGACATTCCAGCTTTTTAAATAATTTATTGATTGATTGATTTAAAACATTTATATTCCGCCCTTCTCATCCCAAAGGGGACTCAGGGCAGAGCACAGCATATATATGGCAAATATTCAAAGCCAGGAAATGACTTCATTATATGCATACATACATATATGTTAAAAACATTTGTCTCAATATTAAAATACACTGTTTAAAACTGTCTTGATCATCTTAGTCTAATCTAATTGGCCTGGTAGGGTTTCCTATCGCAACTTTATTGCACTGTCCCGAAAGCTTGGTCCCACAGTTAAGTCTTTACCATCCTTCTGAAGGACAGGAGGGAGGGTGCCAATCTGGTCTCACCAGGAAGGGAGTTCTATAGCAGGGGGGCAATCACCGAGAAGGCCTTCTCTCTCATCCCCACCAATTGCGCCTGTGACAATGGTGGGACGGAGAGCAGGGCCTCCTCTGAGGATCTTAATCTCCACGATGGTTCATAGGAGGAGATGTATTTGGACAGGTAAATTGGGCCAGGGAAATTTAGGGCATTATAGGCCAAAGCCAGCACTTTGAATTGTGCCTGGTAGCAAACTGGCAGCCAGTGGAGCTGGCGTAACATGGAAATTGTATGCCCCCTGTATGCTGCCCCAGTTATTAACCTGGCTGCCTCTTGTTGGATGATTTGAAGCTTCCAAGCAGTCTTCAAAGACAACCCCATGTAGAGTCTGTTGCAGTAATCTATCCTGGATGTAACGAGAGCATGGACCATGCTGTGACTTCTGTTCATGCAATTAATGATTATATATGTATAATTTGAATGTTTTTTTAAAATAATCCTTTCCAAAATGCATGCCTATTTGGGTTTATTATTTTTCTCTTTCAAAAAGCAGCATCTTTCAGTCCTTAGTCCAATTGACTTTAAAGGGATTGACACTCTAATTCCGAATGCATGTCCTAACAAATCAATTTCCTTGACTTCAGTACACCTTAATTTACTTAAGGGCCTAATTACTAGTTCAGGATGGGAATCATGTAGCCCTCCTGATAGCCCTCCTGATATCATGGGAACAGAAGTCACAGCATTTCTTACCATTGGCTATGCTGGTTACATATTGTGAGTGTCAACAACATCTGGAGAACTTTGATCCCAGTGGTAGGCAATGCATGATGTTCCATACTCCCCTTCCTTTACATGTCCACCTGAGCAGGCTACCTGAAAAGGTGGACAAAATGTTCTATCATTTCTTCAACCAGTCAAAGCCATCTTTCTCAATGTCCCATTCACTTCTTTTTCTTTTTCTCTTCACAGGTAGAAAACACACTGGTAAGGTATACAGTTTTGATTGTGCAATGGCAAGAAGAGCCAAGGCTGAGCTACCTTTTCTCATCTTCTGAGTACTCTTCCATTCTAACAAACAATTGCCAAAAGGCTGCTTTTCAGTAAAAGCAAGCAAAGAACAGACATAAAACACTGTCTCGTTCTGCTTAGCCATGTCATTCAGCAATCATATAGCTTCAATATCTAGGAAAGTTACTTTTTTGGACTGCAGTTCCAGAAACCCTTGTCATGGACAGTGGTAAAAAAAAACAACTTTCCAAAAGTCTATATAGCATTAATTTTAGATGTTACAGTTAGATCTTGATTGTAACTGCAAGTCTGTTTATTTGGGAGTAAATATTAGCAGTCATGTGTAGTATAGGGCAAGGTTTATACCATTGTAGGAATAGTTCATACAATTTACTTCCTTGTCACATGTTTAATTCCAGGTGCAAATGTGCGTTAGAGCTGCAGAAACACAAGGTATCACACATGCACACACTGATATATAAGCATTAGCTGACTGTGCTCGTATTAATTACTATGTGTCGCAATGAAGATTAAATTTGATTTCCATTTAAGCAATATTAAAATCTTAAGAGCACAGAGAATATAGTTTCAGTCTGACTGGAATTGGGTAATTTATTCTTAAATTGCATTATAATACGTATGCCTCATTTTTTGAAAAAAGAGCTGTGCCTTCTGGGAAACTTAGGGCTGATTCCAACTATCTGTCTTAAGTACATCCAAGAAATGTTTGCATGAAGCTAGATGCCGGAAGCCAGAAGGCCTTTCTTAGGCACACTTGTGTGATGAGTCGTCTCCTCCTTGTCACAAAGCTGCATCATTCTTGGCTTTGGGCACAGTATTTTTGGAATGTAGAATTAAGAGGAAATAATTGGCCAATTCTGAATTTTAGCCAAGAATTTTGAACTCCTACCTAACTCTTGTCTTTTTCCTTCATGCTTATCATTTCAATCTGGCAGTATTTTGGTCTTCCTGCCTGATTTTTCCCCCTGTGCAATTTAATAAAGTACTTTTACTTGTGATAAGAAACACCCCAAATTTGATATGGAAAAAAATTGAACAAGATATCTGAGTAATTTTGTTCACATGATATCTGGCAAATATTTCAGGCAAGGGGGTGGGGACTGAAAATGATTCTGCAGCCAAGCATTCGTTCAGGCATTATTCATTACCTGAAGCCCTTTCACACTGTCAGTTATGGCAATATGATTACACTTTAACTGCCATGTCTGCATCCTATGGAATCCTGTGGATTGTAGTTTGGTCAGAGGCACAAAAAAGTCCCCTGGCTGAGAATTATAAGCATTCCTCTCCAAACTACAAATTCCAGAATTCCACCAGGTGTTGGCACTGCAGCCGAAATAGAATTACAGTGTTGTAACTTTTTTTGTGTCAGGAGTGACTTGAGAAACTGCAAGTCGCTCCTGGTGTGAGAGAATTGGCTGTCTGCAAGGACATTGCCCAGGGGATGCCCGGATGTTTTAGCATCCTTGTGGGAGGCTTCTCTCACGATGAGCTGACAGAGGGAGCTCATCTGCACTCTCCCCGGATTCGAATCTGCAACCTGTTGGTCTTCAGTCCTGCCAGCACAAGGGTTTAACCCATTGCACCAGTGCTGTAACTATGCAGTGTGAAAGCAGCCCTGGAGCTGCTCCATTGCATAACGCTAAGCAGGAGCACAACCCACCTGATTTCTGTGCATATTTATTCAGATGTAAATCCAACAATACTTGAGAGGGCTTGGGGCTCATTCACAATACACAGTTACTGTATTTCAATATCAAGGTAATACGAGTGTATGGTAGGTATAGTATGGGATATAGCATTAGGCCTATTTTTAATAGTGACTCTCAAATAATCAGAAACTACAGTGTTCCCTCACTTATCATGGGGGTTGTTCCAGGACCACCCGCAATAAGTGAAAATCTGCAAAGTAGGACGCCATATTAATTTTAATATTTATACATCATTTTATATATTTGGTATATTACTTTCTTACCCGCACTTCCTTACCCACCTCCTGGCCCATCCCAACGGTGCCTGCCTGCCTCCCTCGCACCCACAGACTCCGGCAGATCCTCTAGAGCCATGCAGGCAACAGCAGGCCAGGGAGGCAGGCCTTCCCCACTGTGCCTCAGGCCGCCACACTTCTGGGGTCTGTGGACATAACTATTTTATACACACACACACACACACACACACACACACTGCATTTATATACCATCCCTCTCAGCCCACAGGCAACTCGGGACGGTTTACAGTTGGTACCAAGACCATAAAATACAATTTCAATATAGGAAAACAATAAAAAAATAAAACCATAACAGAATCAATAAAATTAATAAAAACAACTCCCAAATGACAAAAATCAATCCCACCCAACCCCATAAAATATTTTATATTTTTTATTAATAATTTCAAAAACCCGTGAAACAGTGAGTTTGCTAAAAGCAAACATGGCATCTATGAATCTCCATGGATGCCAGTTAATGACAGTCTGCTGTACTATCATTTCACATTAACTACTGTGGCTCATCTTCCACCCAATGGCATCCTGGAGTTTGTAGTTCAGCGAGGCACTACAACACTCTGGCTGAGAATGCTCAGTGCCCTTCCCTTAACTGCCAATCCCACAGTTTCATTGGAATGAACTGCAAGAGTTAAATTGGAATCATAGCAATATAATTCTATCGTGTGAAGGAGCCCTTATTCCTTAGAAAAAGCATGTAAGATTACATATCTTTGGTCTGCCAGGTGAACTGCACTCTGTGGTTAATTCACTAGTTTTAATATTTCATTTCAGTCTGTTTCAGGTGAAGCATTGCTGTGTAACAATGAAACAGAGCAACTTGACAATTAAACCCGTTGTAAAAGAAATTGGGACCAGCTTTTTCAAATCTCATGTGGTTGGACAAAACCAACAGGAAGGGCAAAAGAAGGAGATGAAACATACTTGGTTCTGGCTTTTTACAGCATTGGTAATAAGGGGAAAGAATCCAAGCTTGATGTAAAACTGAACATGTGCAGCTTTTGTAGGTTGTACATTAAAACAATATGATTCACTCACTGCCTTTAAACATGAGAGCTAAGGCTGTACTAATTCCCAGCTGTGCATAATGCCAATTAGATACTCATTAAATTAACATTGATAGCCTATCTGATGGGAGCCACAGTGCCAGATTAGTGCTATTGCACTAAATTAGAAGGGCAGGGAGCAGTTCCATGGTTTTGTACCATCATTTCACACAACAAACATTTCTGCAGACAGCTCACCCACAGTTCCCCAACTTGTGGCCTAGCAGAGAGGTGAGAACAGTTGCTCTATAACATGCAAAGAATTGAATGCATTGAGTCAGGACATTTAAGATATCTTTCATCCAAATCCTGTGTTGAAGGTGACATCATTCAAGAAAAAGATACAGGAAAGGATCCGGTAAGATTGTTTTTCTCTGAAGATAGGTTTAAGAGAACGTTGTTGATTGGTATATTTGAACTGGGAATTCAAGCAATGCCAACAACGTGATATGTATCAATATATGCATTTTTTTACATTCTTAATTAAGATGGGCACAAGTGGTGCATAACAAGGTTGCAAAATAAACCTTGAAAGTGAGAACCTTGACAGCTGTCAGTTATTGGCTTTGTAATACACTATGTTGTTCGTTGAATCTAATTAGTTGAACTTGGCTCAGTGGAACTGAATCATAAGGCCCATGTGCATGGCTGCTGCTTACCAAAATAATAAATTATCATTCTAAATTGCAGCACACACTCCTTTTAACTATGCAGCCGTTTACAATTCAGGATTATTTCTGCTCCTGTTCCCCTTCCTTATGCTTGATTTATGAAAGAGCATTAATCACAAACCAACACATAGTGGAAGATAGCATGATGATAACTAAACATTTGATCTGGGTGGTAGGGCTGTGTGTGGGTGGAAATGAAATATGGAGTCAGAACTTCAGTTTCTTGTAATCTTAGCTCAGTGAAATTCATTATTTCATGGAGGAGTCTTTGGAATGAGTGTAGTTTTGGGACGGAGAAACACTGGATAACATAACCAGAGTACAGCCTGAATAAGCTTTGAAGAAATTAACTTAGTCCTCAACAACATGATAGAGTTGGAAGAGACCACGTGGGCCATCTAGCCAACCCCTGCCATGCAGGGAAAGCACAATCAAAGTACCTCTTGACAGATGGACATCCAGACTCTGTTTAAAAGCCTTCAAAGAAGGAGCTTCCACCAACAGTTTCACTATTGAACAGCTCTTACTGACCATTGTTATTATGTGATTGCATTTTGCTGTTATAACGTTTTAATTGAATATGTTATATGATGTTTTTAATTATTGTTTTGTGATTTTATTGTTGGAAACCAGCCCGAGTCCCCCGATAGAGGGGAGAAGACCGGTATACAAAATTGCTAAATAATAAATAAATAAATAAATACTGTCAGGAAGTTCTTGTAATGTTCAAGTGGAATCTCCTTTCCTATAATTTGACCTCATTGTATATGGTCCACCCATGTTTTTAGTCACAGATTTTGTTGTAGGTGCTTCTACTATTTCAACTTAGCCAAAGTTGAAGGGAAAAAAGGTGACAAAGAGCTTCTTATTTGTGATGACACAAACAAATAAGGGTTTCTGAATTCACAGTGTGAGTTATAAGACTGAATAATAACCTTGAATTCCCAGCTCAAATATACCAATCAGCAACATTCTCTTAAACCTACCTTCAGACAAAAACAAGAGTTTTGGGGCTCTTGGCCTTGGGCTTCTGGGAACCACTGACAGCATAGGGAAGCTGATGAGGAAACACAACATACAAACTATCTACAGACCCACCAAGAAAATCCAACAAATGCTACATTCAGCAAAGGACAAGAGGGATCCTCTCGCTTCTGCAGGAGTCTACCATGTACCATGCAGCTGTGGACAAGTCTACATAGGGACCACCAAACGCAGCATTGCCCAAACACGAATCAAGGAACATGAAAGGCATTGCAGACTACTTCAACCAGAGAAATCAGCCATAGCAGAGCACATAATGAACCAACCTGGACACACCATTTTATTTAAGAACACAGAAATGCTGGACCACTCTAACAACCACCATGTCAGACTACACAGAGAAGCCATTGAAATCCACAAGCATGTGGACAATTTCAACAAAAGGAGGAAACCATGAAAATGAACAAAATCTGGCTACCAGTATTAAAAAACTCTAAAATTGCAACAGCACATCAACAGAGAGGAAGCAGGCAGGGACATCTAATCACCTCTCAACAAAAGTTTGCCCCAGGCACAGTCAGGCCATTGAATGCTAATCAAGGTGGTCAGTTGAAACATTCACACCTAACTCCAGCAGACAAGAGTTCTTTGTCTCACCCTGGTCATTCCACAGATATATAAACCCTTTTCCTAGTTCCAACAGACCTCACTACCTCTGAGGATGCTTGCCATAGATGCAGGCGAAATGTCAGGAGAGAATGCCTCTAGAACATGGCCATATAGCCTGAAAAAACCTACAACAACCCAGTGATTCCGGCCATGAAAGCCTTTGACAATACATTGAATCATAACCATTTGGATTTCAGCTGCACATTCAAAAAAGCAATCACTCACCTTCATTCTGAGGTGGTCTCTTGCAGCATGTCCCTGTGTCATGTTACTTCATTTGTGCCCTGTGGAATTTGGCTTTGTTAGCTTTTCTAACCACCATGGGTTTTCTCACAAAGGACCCTATGTGCATAGTTAGAGGAATATAAAGTTTTAGTACTTTTGCTGGAGTTGCTGTAAAACTATAACTGATATAGGTTTTTAGTATAGGTCAAGTTTTCATTGCACTCAGAGGGTTTGCTTTTGAGGACAAAACCTAAAATTTCCTATCTATTCCTAGAAACTCTGTGTTTCCCATTGACAATGTTTGGGAATTCCTTTATGGGACGTACAGGAATGGGGCACAGCATAGAAAGCCCTCCAGAGATTATTGTCAAGGTTTAGACAAACAACCTTTCTAGTTTCTAAGTGTCCTTTCACACAGCCTTATGTCCTAGAATATCAAGGCAGAAAATTCCATATTATCTGAGTATGGACTCAGATAACCCAGTTCACAGCAGATATTGTGGGATTTTCTGCCTTGATGGGATATAGGACTGCATGAAAGGGCCCTAAGTCCCCGTTTAGTTTCTCAAATATTGTAGTAATAATCCCCTTCAGTATTCTTCTTCTTTGATGGGATGATGGGACAGATTAAAAGGTGTCCATACCCTCAATACAGAGCCAACAGTGAAACCAATGAAACTTAGCCATGAACAGAGAATGTGGATACGCCTACACTTCATGCAGTTTGAAAGCAGTTTGAGACCATGGTATTTACATGAAGCATGTTGTGAATGTGCATAGCAATACACATTAATTACTTTAAACCAAGATAAGCAAAGTCAGGGATACTCTGAAATAAAGCTTGCAATGCTCATCAGCATGCCTAAGTGTAAACCACACCGCATGGGAAACTGATTGAGGGACAGATGCTCTGGTGATTTACATATTCACATTGGGGGAACCAGTGCTGAGAAAACTTGAACCTTTCATGGCCATGAAGCTGTGGATATTGCAAATGGGGGAACCAGGTTGAAGCTGACCTCTTCAGTGTATATAAGCACTCAACCTAGTCGCAGTGCTTTCCATGTAATCATCCCCACACTGAAATCACTTCCTCCTCTGCTAGTGTCATAACAACCTAAGTGGTCAATGTAGATGTGCCCTGTGTTCTGGGACAGGACACAGTCATCATGCAGATGTGAAAGGACGCAGGTTCTATGCCTGGCACCTCCAGTGAGACCAAGTGATGGGAAAGACATTTCTGCTTGAGCCCCTGAAAAGCCACTCAGTATTGCCAGAGTAGAGAGTACTGAGCTAGGTGCACAGCTTCTGCCAATCTAGCAGTTCAAATGCAAATGTGAGTAGATCAATAGGTACCACCTTGGTGGGAAGATAATGGCACTCCTTGCAGTCATGACCTTGGTATCTATGCACAACACCAGCTTTTTGGCTTAGAAATGGAGATGAGCACCACCCCCCAGAGCCGGACGTGACTAGACTTAATGTCAGGGGAAACCTTTACCCTTCCCTTTAGAGAGTACTGAACTAGGTGCATAATTAGTCTGAGTTAGAATAAAGGCATCTCCTTTACATTTTTTAAACTTTTCACTTTGCACTCTCAAAAAGAACCCAGAACAAGGACATAAACCAGGCCCGTAGCCAGGATTTCATTTCGGGTGTGTGTGTGTGTGTGTGTGTGTGTGAATTTTTTCAGGGGGGAGTTTCGGGGGGGGGGGGGGCTGAGTCTGACTGAAAGAGGGTCTAGCCTAGCAAACCTTTTGTATCATTATCCCAATACCCCCATGCATATGGGATAAATTGAGTATGGTGATCAGATCATGATATGAATAAACATAACAGTTTAAATAATGCACCAGTAAGGCCTTTTCGCGAACCACCATGAGAATTTCGGGGGGGGGGGGGGCTGAAGCCCCTCAAGCCCCCCCCCCGGCTACATGCCTGACATAAACAAAAGCATAGTGTGGACACTAGTGATTCTCCTGGTGCCATGGTGTGACTGACCAATGGACTGAATACTCAGGAGTTCCACTTGAACACACACTGTGTCGCTCATTAGTCAATGATCCTATGTGGAAATGTCACTCAAGACAGCAAGGGCAATTTGTAACAAAGCATGCAATGCGAGTGCTGAATATATATAAAAGAACGTTTTCTAATGCCAGGTATCAGTTCTTTATTCTAGTAAAAATACCTGGGATTAGAAAGAAATATGCACACTATAGTCTCAAAGGAAATACTAATCTGATTGCTGTTCTGGCGTCTAACTGGTCGTTAAGAGAAAGACAACATGGCATTATTCTCTCTAAGCTATCAACAAAATAAAGCCACCTTCCTTTCAGTGCAATTTTCTAAATAATAAGGAAAACATTAATCTCTGCTAAGCTCTCCACCGCTCTGGTATGATCTGGCGTGATCAAGAAAAACATCTCTCTTACCTATAGTTATCTGTGCTTTTTGTGGTAAATGCAATCAGAGACTCTTGCTCATTGGAGCAATTTGTAGACAGGTTAAGTAAATTAAATCACTCAGTCTTTTTTTTTACAACAGCTGTAAAGTTAAAAGTAATCTGCAAAGAAAATACACAGTTTCAATTGGTTTGTAATATGCACTAATGATCTTGAGTAAAAATTTCTGATAACACACTACAATTCCCCCAGGGACAGTTTTCTGAATAAGTGGATTTTTTAAAAAAATGCTGAGATGTCATTAGTTAGTGATTTCTTTGAAATCAAAAGCTGTTAAAGCATGAATTGCATAGATACATCAGTGAACATGAATAGCATTTTTATGAACTGTACACACTGTCACACACACACACAAAACAATGGTTAAAAGTTTCAAATAGAGACCACAAATCTAAGGATCACAGTTGGCGTAATGTTTCTTTTACGGAGCTATTTTAGAGGCAGAAGGCATGTTCCAATGACAACATCATCCACCTGGCTAGAGTGAAGGAGCCCTTGCTTCCCCTGCCTTTGGTGGATTCGGTCAAATATCTGATCAGAGGGTATGTATACCAATTTCATCCCTTATGTGAGTATGTCTCTGTATGGGGATTTCTTTAGAGGTTTGTTTGAGCTCACGAAGGTCAGAACCATTGGGGCATATTCCTGGTTTCACTCTGTGTACTCAAATGTACAACTAATCATAATCTGAAGAGAATTATGAAGTGTAACAAATAATTTCTAAATGTAGCCACTTTTCTCTGATTTAGTTATTTTTAGGACAGAACTCTTTGTTCATATCTATTTAAAGTACAGTGGGGCCTTGGTATCTGCTGTGGGTTGATTCCAGTACTCCCTATTGGTACCATATCATGTTCAAGTCCCATTATATACAATACTGCAAAAAAAATGCCCCTTATATAATATTATTTTGAATATTTTCAAGCCATGGATGGCTGAATCCATGGATGCAGACTCTATGGATATGGAGAATTTTCCTTATCCTTAAACCATTGGCTTCTAGAACATGGCCATACAGCCCAAAAAACCTACAACAACCCAGTGATTCTGGCCATGAAAGCCTTCGACAATACATTAGAGCTAGTTTGCTGAATTACAGTAAAACCCATTCTATTTTGCATGTGTTTCTCTCACAATGGCTAGCTGGACAGTTCTTGCATGTTCTGATGCATGAATGGATTGCTCTGCCTCACAAGGACGTCTCTCATAAATTTAGTGTAACCGGATTTCCCTGAACAACGAGAAGAAAGCATGAAGTACTATCCTGGATGAAGTGAACTGAGAAATGGAAAACTCAAATGGCCAGTTTGACGGCATTTGGAGATTTGGAATAATTAAGAAAAGAGGTATCAGTGTGCTCAGGTGGAACCAGACTTTCAGAGTACAC